ACATAGTTCTTCACAGATGCTTTTTGTTTAATTGAGTTAACTCTTCCGTCTTGTAACATTCTATGATTCTATGAATCAGTGAAGTGGTGAATCCTTTTGAGCTTGGACTCCTGCTTTAATAGCTTTAAGGCTAACTAAGGGTTACTTGCCAATATTAGACTTCTGCCTATCTGACTTTTCTGTGTACCCAGAACGTGGGCATACAGACATCTTCGTTCCCAGAGGTGGATATTGGAAATGAGTAGTGCGTGATTTTCATTTACATTGTTCTGTTACTCAGCCCTTCTCTAAGGTATCCTCTTAAGTGCCTCTTTGGTCATTTTATGTAGGTTTGTTCTAGCTCTTCCAAGCCAAATCAAGTGCAGGGACTATTCTCCTGTATTTTTATCTTTGAGGGACTCCAATAAATAGGTTTCAGTTGTTGAGTGTGAAATAAAATTTTATTGACTGATTGATAGAGGGAGCTATTGGGCAATCCAGGACAAGAAAATGTAGACCTGTTTTAAGTCTTTGGGCCATCTGCAATGACAGTACTCCTAAATCTTATTGACATAACTTCCCCTGCCCACCAAAAAATATTTTTAAATGTAGATTTCTGATTCACTTAGCCACAAATTCAATTCAACAAATATATTCCAAGCATCTGCTATTACTAGTCCAACCTTGTTTATTCATATCCAAGGTTTATAAGGAATAGATAAATATTTTCAGCATGTCACTGACTGTGAAACAGAATCATTGAGGAAAAATCCAGGTGTCTTCGCTTCTGGACCTTTAGTTCTCAAAGTCAGTCATCATTACTCAAGGACTTCTTAGATAATAAATATTGTGGTGGGATTAGGCAAGAGTTTAGAGCACAAATTCGGGACCTTAAGAGAAAGTGTCAGACTATTTTGAGAGAGAGGGAGGGAGGGGATTGCTTTTCCCTAATTGGAGAGCAGGGGATATAGACTCAGGACCTGGGTTTGAATCTTGACCCTACCATTTAACAGTTTTGTGATCTTAATTGAATAATTTAATCTCAGGTCCTCAGTTTCCTCATCTTCAGAATGAGGAAGTTGGATTAAATGTCTCAAATCCCATTCAGCTTTACGTCTGCG